GCAGAGAGCAGCACTCAGCCTAAACATCCGCATGTCGTCTGGCTCCGTCCTCAGACACCTGCTCAGCACTTGGACCATCCAGAGCGTCTGCAGTGTGTGAGCCACACACACACACATGTACTGTAGTCTATAAAACACACAACCCCAACAAGACATCAGCATCTCCTCCATGCAAACACCACTGCCTCACTAAACACGTGAAGCACATCTATGTTGTGCTCAGCTGCTCAGAATTCAACACTTTGCCCAATTTGTGAAACCAGTGAAACTCTATTCCAACCAGAATAGCAGCTCGCCGCCGCTAATCTCCCCGTGATGACTTCCAGTTCCTCAGGACGCCACGGCACAGAACCAGATCCACCCCAGTCCTGTGATTACTCTGTCTAATGTGAGGGAGGCTTCTGGTGTGGTGAAAGTAACAGATGACAGATGAGCTGAAAAACCAGACCAACATTGCTCCGTGGTCAGCTTTAATTGCACCGTTTCAGCCCGATCCAGATCGTACAGAGCAGTGACATTACCACCAGCTGTGAGAGATCGCACTAATGAGACATTCCTAAAGAGAGCTGGAAAAAAGGCTGTAAATGAAGGAAGCAACAAAGCAGAAGGTCAGATGTCTCCCAGAGTCACTTCAGAGTAGCATGACTAAGCGACAACAACAGAATGTACATTCCCCCTTCAGAGATGTGAGACGCAGGATTGTTGGCAGCTGACCAGGGCATTTTTGGGCAGCCCCCTTCCTGAGCCCCTTACGCTGCTTAATCTTCCCTGAAATAATTCCTTAATGTGGCATGCAGCGTGGCACAAAACCCACTCTCATCTGTTGCTGCGACGCCTCCACTCCGTTACAAAGACACCTTCTCTGAGCGGATTAGCAGCTTCCACAAAGAGAAGAGACGGACGAGCAGGGCTCAGAGAAGCTGAGAACCACGGGCAGGTGTCACCCTGAAGGGGATGACCACGTCAACACAGAAGAGCCGCTGTTTGTTTAGGCGCCGTCGGCCCGTTTAACCCCCAGAGAGCGACCCAGAGGGAGACCCCGTTTGGGGCGATCACAGACACAAAGGCCCGGCTCAGCGCTCCGTTTGGTGCCATAATTGGTACGCGCAGAGCCAAGCACTGTATTTTGAGGCAACAAATCATGTTTTGCTTTGCAGAGGAATGTGTCATTTCAAAGAGCTCCTGTGAAAACCAGGGCTGGCCATGTCAGATGATCTCTGACGGGCTTCTTTGAAACACTTTAAATACCATCTGAGTGAGACACTGGGTCGATGTGACAGAGCAGGCACAATACTGCCGAACAGAAAATGTTTCAGTGTGCTGGAGCCTACAATTAGAATATCTGGGCGCTCGCTGTGGCCACATCAGACTGCATGTCTGAGCTACACAAATCCCTGAGAAGAGATGCACTTGTCTCCATGAGGTTTAATGAGAACTTTGGCTTTCAGCCACATAATAAAGCAAAAACATTACTTAAAAACACATCTGTCATGATGTAGCGTGGCAAGTATTTGGCTCACGTCCTGACTAACACTTTACTGCCATAAATGTTCTGACATGACAGCAGCACACACAGAACCAGGACCAAACTGGACATGTTGTGTGTATAACACCAGTGAACTCCATGGACAGGGTTTCCTGTCCCGTACTGCTTTCAGCTAAAACACAAAGTCAGGGGAGCTCCTTCTACAGCCTCCGTCCTCTTTAGTTTCTAAACTCAACCATCTGAAGCTAAACCAGTCGTGTCCGTCTCTCCAGAACAGCTTTCCTTCCTCATGTCAGCAGCTTGCTGATATTCTTCTAATGTGTCACTGATTGCATTAAACAAACAGGCTGACACTAAAGCATCTAACAGGACTTTACCAGTTAAACTCCTGAGCCACTGACTCACGATACTCCAGCATTGCTTCTTCTGTGAGGACTCCAGATGTGATCTCAGACACATGCGACAGGTTTCATTTGTTGGAGTTTTCTGCTGACCTCGCTACCGCTGCTGCTCATTAGATCAAACGGACCGGAACCAGAGGCAGTATTCCACGACCCAAACCAGCTAAACTCCACCACTGTGTTGTTGCGTAACCTACCATGAAACCTGCAGCTTGTTTTTGCTCTGTTCTCTGCATGCGTGTCCTTCTGTGTCTATTTGTGTTCAGCTATGCACAAAGCGTCCCCGTGACCGCTGACATAGTTGTTGCTGTGTTCCATGACACACTCACACACACACAAAGACCACCCATGGATAGACAGGGGACCACTTCCTTTTTTCTGCCTACGGGGCCCATTTCACATGTAGCTACCTTCGCCAGTCCCACCACAAAAGGGGGCCAGTTCCTATTCAGCAGTTAACGAGGACGACAAACTGCAGAAGCCATTGTCCCTGCTCCTCAGCCCCGTCACAAAGCTTATTGTTGCCGTCAATCAGCATAGCTGCTGGTTTCCACCGCCGGCTAACCCCGTCCGTCCTCACCCGTCCGGTGGCTGCAGCTCAGTAAAAGGTTTAACTCACTGATTGAGAGGTCCTTCAAACGCTGAAGTGGAGGAAGTCGCCATCGCAAAGTCAAGAGCTCTTCACCCGCAGCACAACCAGATAGACACGGAGCACATTGGAGGCTTTTCAAAACACACAAAAGTCACCTCAGCTGCACATTTCTCAAACCACACATTCTGCCTCCAAACTCCGCCCGGCTGACTTTTGGAGATAAAACTAATAGATGGGCAAATCTTCAGCAGAGCGTTTGCAGAAAACGAGCACAAAACGGTTCATTCATTCAGACTGACTCCTGTTGTGCGTTCTTTATGCAACAGAACTGGAAAACATCCTCAACTTAAACTCCACATCTCAGATATCTGCTCAAGATTTGTGCATCGACGCTATGTGAGTATGGAAAACACATAAACCTTCAGAATGAGATGATGGGAGCCTGAAGCTGACAGATATGGAAAACCAGAGGGAGGGGGTCCAACTAGCAGAATAGAAACGTGAAAACAAGCAGACGTTTGCTGCGCTGTGGTGAATGCTTTCTCCAAACATGTGGCTAATTACGCTAAGCAAAGAAAGCTGCAGCTCACAACAACTGAGAGCATAAGAGGAGGTCGACCTGCGTGTGAGCGACGGATGCAGCAGGAGAGCAGAAACTCAGGTGAACTGTAATGAAAGGGCAAAACAAACCGCTCAACTAGTAGATGTAGCACATGATTAGACCCCCAGTTCTGCTCAACTGCCTGCAATAAGCAGAGGTCATTAGCCTAATTACCTCACACTGACTGGCTGGTTTATTGGGAACACACACGCAGACACACCAACAGGAGACAACAAGGACCATAAAGAAACCTCAGACACTAAATCACTATCTCAGCACAAAGCATTCCCATCTTTCTCTCATTTGGGGTTTTGCAGAGGATTTGCTAAAGCTGTACGTTTTGCAGAGCAGATTTTCCCTCTCTGGATGTTGGAGGTGATGTTGAAAACAGCCACACAGATTGCATTGTGCTGACGGAGGTACAGTGCAGATAGCTCGCAGCAAAGTGTGCAGGAGTGGGAGGATTGTGGTGTGAGCTTCCTTTTATCCTGGTTCAATGGCTCAGAGAAAAGGGTGATTAGTTTGTCCCATCTCAAAGTGCTGCCACGTCTTTGGTTACAGAGATAAAAGGCTGCCTCATGCTGAAGAGAGCAGCCATTGTGAGGAGGAGCAGCCCTCCTCCCTCCTGGCTGGAGGACGGGAGGCACCGGGCAGTCCTGAGGAGGGAGAAATGTCTCTTTAAGACTTCTTCTTTCTGAGTGTTTTAAAACAAACCAGGCTGCTGGTGGAGCAGCATTGTAAAGCTTGCTTGTATAATTTAATCCTGTAACCTTCTCCCTGGAAACAAAGAGGCCTTTGAAGAGGGCACAGAGGCCATAATAAGACACTGATGACAGGAGCATCCAGGAGATCTTCTCCCATTCCCCGTCCATCCACTTCCCACCACAGGCCTGTCCCACAGAGCACCGTGCCTGCTGGATGTGTGAGGGCTGGGCTTCAGGCGTACGGGTCGGTTCCAGCTGGGAAGGTGGAACCAGAAGTGGGAATCTTCGTGTCAGTGCACCGGACAGGGACAAACTGTTTACAGGAAGGCTCTGCCAGGGCTTCGTCTATGGTATGCAGGCTATGCGATCTGGATCACTGGCTGTAAAATCCCATCAAAGGAGGCTTCTGGGTCTCAGCGCTGTGAGGTTAAGCTTATCCACAAGGAGATGAGCTGCTGGCAGCCTCAGTGTGACCAACAGAACCACTTCTCCATACATGGACCCGGCGGGGAGATTCATTTCTGTACTTCTTTGTTCCTCGTGTCCAGATGAGCAGGCGGTCTCTCCACCGTGGTACCGTCTGGGCGGCCCTGACTCTGATTGGTGGAGGTCGACGCTGGACATGCTCGTCTGCTTCCGAGTCCATAATGCCGTTCTGTGACCCGACTGTCACGGCACACATCTGAATGAGACCCAGTGGATGTGAGCCAAGGTGTAGACGTGGGGCCACAGCTCGAGCGTTTGGGCCTCACTGCGCTCTGTTCAGCACAGATCCAGACCAGCCGAGGCAGCCGGGCCGTCTGAAGCGACACTACAGTCATGACCTCTCAGATGGTTGATGTTTTTTGCTGAGTGCTGAACAAGACACGACAACGCAAATCCGATTGGAGAGCAAATGTCAACACTTAAACTCTTTCAGCACTTGAGCTCTTTTTGTTCCCAGCACACACATCTGAACCCGGTCGGAGCAGCTCAGGCGCTGTGGGCACGGCGCCGACTGATAACATCTGCTCAGGAGGCTGTGTGGGCCGAGCACCTCTTCACCTTCTGACCTTTGTCTCCAACGCTTTCATTCAGTGCCAGCAGTGAGGTGACGTTTGAAGTCCTCCTGCTGGCTCAGGACTTATTGCCTTTTAGTAAATACACCTGCTTTCTACACGACGGTCACAATCGATGAAGAACGATGGTTTTAGGGGTGAAAGCTGAAGGTACTTACGATAGAGACAGCCCGCCTCCCCGTTCAGCTGAGACCATCCAGGGCAGCACTTGTACACGGTCTGATAGTCCTGCCGGTACACCTGTCGGTACGCCGTGTAGTACGCCGTCCTGTCAGCGACACAAACAGCAGTTCAACACTTTAGTCAAACCTGTTAAAATGGCAGAGACGAGACATCGCAAAGGAAAAACTAGGAAGAGCTGCAGCGGATGTTTGTTTGTTTTAAATACTCATTACATTAACATTACTGACAACGTAGTGAAAACGTTCCCAGATAGATCTTCTTTGTTTGAAAAACATTCTGAGAAAGTTCTACCAAGTTCTGCTTGTGTTTTCAGTGGGACGTTTTTGTTTAGTTCCTAGAATGTTCTTCCTCAAGGCAGGATCATGAACGGTGTCACTGCTGGGGTCAGGGTCAGGGCTAACGCTAGCTCTGAACGCTAACGCTAGCTCTGAACGCTAACGGCGCTGTTATCATGTTCCCTCAACAACATCCCCAAAACGTCCGCACAACATTACCTGTTGCACTTTTGTAAATATATCCGTTACAGGAACGTTTTATAAACAACGTTCTGCCATCTCGATAACGTCTTGAAACGTTTTCTGAAGGCTGCATTGAGAACATCCTTTAATGTGGCACGTTACAGGAACGTTATAAACACATTCTGTTTAATATAAAGAACGTTATTCAACAGAAACCCTGAACGTTGGATGTTGGTGTGAGAACGTTCCTCCTCTGTTTTTATAAACATCATCTGTGTTTCTCACAACAGCCTCTCAGTGTTGACACTAAAACATTATATTAACTTTATAAGAACATTCATGGAGATGAAAACAGTCTTAAAACTTTTTCTGAACATTTGATTAAAACGCTTCTTTAAAAAGCATTTGTGGGTAATTTTAGCCAGCGTTGTGGGAACGTTCCCTGGCAGCTGTGAGCGCTCGTACTCGGAGAATCTGGCCTAATATTCAGTAATAATCTTTAATGTTTCATGTGGGAAGCGTGTGATCTGAACAAACAGCTCGCAGTCTTTGAACCAAACTTTCCCAGGTTTTCAAGACCCCGTCTTTAAGTGTGAGACTGTCAGGCCCGACTTCAGAGAACCGGGCCCATCCCTGTACTTTGGGACACCTCTCATTGCTCCTCAGCTATTAAGCATTGTGGAAACACGTTTTGTTTACAGCGAGTAATTGTGGCCTTGGCTGCCTTCAAAGCAACCTTTGACTCTGTAACACGGTGAACAACGTGGAGAAAGCCAGCGTCAGCAGCAGCAGCACAGCCAGCAGCTCCTGCAAGAGCTAAAGGCTGAAACGTTGGCTCTGGGACTCTCCTTCAAAGGAATGTTGGATGTGTGTTAACCCCGTGAAGCGGGTCGACACCTTGCATTTACCCGTATGGCAGCTTAAAGGCTGTGATTACTGAGCAGCAGTGAGGCAGATGAAGAGGGGAAGAGGAAGAAGGAGATCAGGAAGCACATCTTGCATCCTGTCACACTCTGTTTGCAGATGGGGCTTAATAAAGGACTGTGGCCTTTTGGATAAATTCTTCTGGTTGCGTGAGTCACGGAGGCAGCACAAAACCATTAATTAATGGCGTGCTGGAGCCGGAGCTTCATCAGCAGAGCGCTGCGTTCCCTGCAGGTGAGGTTGGGAGTGTTTGTGTAGGAGTCAGAGGCTCTGAGCTCTGAGAGGGCGGCGAAGACAGGCTACAAATGAGCGACATTACTCACCTCCTCTCGTATCCCATGCACCACGACTGGCCCACACAGCCCTGCTTCCACACTTTAACCATGCGTGTGAAGGCCTGCACACAGGGCTGCCTCTGGGCGACCAGCGTCACCTCCCTCTCCACGCACACATTGGGCCTGCAACCAAAACAGCAGTAATAATACTTAACATGTCAGAGTGTTCTGCAGTGTTTTTACAGATGTACAGGTGGCAGCGGGGCAATTTATGAGCGCTTAAAGTAACGCTGCAGTGAAGATAGATGAACAAAGCACGCGTGAGACGTGTTCCAGTCTCAGCGACGTAATGCCTGTGAGGGCATTACCTGTGCTGAGGTGTGAGGCGGCTCATGATGTCTGGTTTTTGGTATTTTTTAAAGACTTAAGGGGAATTCCTCGTACATCATCTTTCAGAATGCTGAGCTGCAAGATACTGCCTGTACTTCAGCTTGAGCACAATATGCATCTGAAATGGGTTACCTGAAAGTGGCAAGAATTTTCCACCCCCCCTCAACAAAAAAAATCATAACCACACCAGGAAAGATCACAATGTTCCAGACAGGAGCCACATTAGCTGGAAAACAAAAGGGGAAAAAATGAAGGGAAACCTCTGTTGTACACGTCACTGCAGAAAAAATGTGCCACAATTCTCACATCAGACCTTCAGTTACATGATTTTATTCTATATTTATTGTTGCACCAACCCACAGAACAAAGTCCTCGTATTGTGTAAACTGTACCTGACAATAAATCTGTTTCTGATTCTGATTTTCACGTGTATATATGAGACTGAATGACAGGCAGGCTGTTAACATGTTCTAATTGAGCTGAAACACGGTGAGCCTTCAGCTCCAGGGTTTTTACCTCCTTACAGTCTGTCTGGGGGAACCAGCAGACCTGCTCCACACACAGGAATCAAAAAACAGCAAGAGGAACAAAGAGCAGCGTAGCTCTCCAAGGACAGGCAGGAAGGCTTGGCATGTGGAGATCAGCAGGAATCTTAAGACAACATCCAGCTGCTCATCTCATAAACAGCCGTAATCACCATCACCTCCAGCTGTACACATAGCTGCATATGAAAGCCCTCATTGTTAGCACCAGGTAACAGCACAGGAACTCCTCTCACATCACTCCGGCTCCATATTTGTTATTTTGGGATATGAAATAACTGTTATAATTGACAGACTCTTCGCTTTGAGGGGTTTAAAAACAAACAGAGTCTGAGAGAGTGTGGAATGCTGCGCAGACCATCCCCGGAGCCAGGACTGATCATAATCATGTAAATTATAGAGACACGATGCATGCAAACAAATACAGGCTGGGATAAAGACTGCATGTCAGCAGGAGGAATGATTGATGCTTCACAAACAAGAAGAAAGAGACTTCAGGTTTCTGCTTTTGTGGCCCTGCTGGAGTCCTGGACACAGGTTATGGATGTGCAGGTGAACCAGCATTTTTATTTCAAAGGACAAATGAAGCTGTAAGAGAGGAAGCATCATCCCTAATGATTAAATAAACATCAGCACAGCAGCCTGTAAGCAGCAACAATAGGACTCAACTGTACTTACATGTATGGCTGGAGACTGTTGGCATTGCTGTACCGCAGTGCAGGAACCTCTTGAATGAATATTAGGAAAAAAGAAAAAACAACACTGTCCATGTTCCTCTTCTTGGATTAGTTAACAGCTTCAAACACTCCTGACAAGCTCATGCATGAGTGTAGCTCATAGCCTCCGCCGAAAAATGGAAATAAATAAACTGAAAAATATGAAAATATATTATTTAAAACATCCGATCGACCAGAAGTTGAAGAAAGAAAAAAAAACTAAAATGCGCGTAAAAGATCTTCCGAGTGGAAATGACCAACTCTGGCTAAACATGACACAGCCATCACATGCGGGCAAGTTTCTCTCTCGCAGCCGGTGTGTGTGTGTCTCTGTATGTGTGTGTGTGACACACTGACTGAAGAACTGCGGCTCACCTTCGGCTCGTCGCTGCAGATGTTGTGAACTGAAAGCTCGTGGAGCTGAGCGCGTCCTGCCTCCCTCCATTGACTTGGTAATGACAGCAGGAGTTTGGGGTGGGTGGAGGGGGCATGCAAAGAGAATCCTCTATTATTCAAAGCTCCAGCAGCCCCTCAAAGACACCCTGCAGCCCAAAAAAGTGCACTCACAGAACAGGGTTTGGACGGGACTTTTCTCTCCGCTCATCGGGACCTTTAAACTGCGCGTAAAACTCGTCTGTACTCTGCGTAATTATTCGTATTTGGCTGAAATCACAGACTGGTGTGTGCGGTATACGGTATGGTGGTATTTACACAGCTGCCTTCTAGACCAGATAGTATTATTTCCGTCACATATGTCTCGTTTATTTACTTCCTTTATCGATGGAGCTGGAAAAAATACGCGGTTACGCACAAACCGCTTATGGTGACCAGGAAACCTGAGTGATCCACTTATCACCCGTGGAGCAGGAGAGGATGTTTGTGGCAGGGGAGGGTCTGAAGCAGCTTGTGGTCACTCTGTGGGGCTAACAGCTGATGGCCGGTCAAAGGGTCAGCAGCCGGACCGGCTACTGCTGCTCTCCAAACAAAGCTTTCATTTGCACGCATGTGTGTTCATGACCCGAGAGAGTCCCGGGTCAGCGCTGTCCGTGCAGCCCCCGAGGACGCAGCATGATGTTTTAATTAGCTCCCAGACATAGCTAAGGTGCAGCCAGAGAGGGGACCCAGACTAAGGCTTGTTCTTTTACTGTCACGACTAAAACTAGTCTCAGATGAATCCGTGTGACCTTCAGCCCTGAATGAACCTGTTTGGAGGTTCCCCTGCAGAAATCCCTCTTGGTAATGACACAACCACATGTTTAAGTAATTAGCACATATGATAATAAACTCACAGATCAGTGCAGGATGTCTCATTAAGAACTGATCCGGTGCTTCAGTGGAGCAACAGAAAAGTTCATTTCAGGCTCATGATCAGCACCCGTCAACCCTCATCAGTGTCTTTTAATCAAACTGGTGATCAGGTGAAAACAACTACATGTAATTTCATTACTGCCAGGACAGGAACTGACCGCAGACCCTCAGGGGCCACAGAGGTGGTCTGTGCAGGAGGTATTTGTTTGGTAACACGACCTGCAGACGGGTGACGAATTAAAGGAAGCCCCTTGAACTCTACAGAGGGGGGATCCGGTGGGGGCGTTGTGCTGGCACTGTTTGAGTCCACTTGTCCTGTAAATCAATACAAAGCTGTTGAGAGTGATCACCTCGATCTCAGGAGGAAATATTTCCATCCTGATGATCCAGGATGGCATGTCCCCATACACAGGGCTCACTGAATGGTTTGATGACTATGGAAGGTCTGGTGCTGGCAGTCTCTCTGCAGATCTCAGTCTGACAGAACACTGATGGGAGATGTTCGACCGATGTGTTGGACAGCGCCTTCTACCACCAGCATCCACACACCAGCTGAGGGTGAAAACTCTCTGGTGTTTCACTCCTTAGAGTCCAGAGACTGGGAGAGTCGATGCCAGGGAGAACTGAAGCTGTTCTGGCATCACATGGTCCACACACCTCACTGCTATGTTGGCTTTTCCTTTAACGTGTTTTCTGTCCCCACAGACACTCGGCTGCTGGGGTCTGATTGGTTCACTTTTAAGATTCTCTGTGTATCGCATTTTGGTTTCTACTTTCCAAAAAGTCCATCAATCGATTCCATGGTGATGAAATGAGCAGCAGTCACTCAAAACTGGAAGTGTGTCCAGTTGAATGTTCTGTCCACGGTCCAAAACCTCATCAGGCCTGAATCCTCTGAATCGCTAACAGCTGTGAGGAGTTGGTCCCAATGACGGACTCATGATCCGCCCACAGTGTGCTGGTCCTCTGCAACCTGAACTCTACGACACGTTCGACCCCCTGCAGGTGAAAATGAATGAAAATGTTCTGAGTGTTTTCTTCAAGCATCTTATAGTTCATCTGTAGTACTGAAGCGATAAACGCCCCAAGGTGGCCCTTCATCCAACCCAATCTTGAGACACAGTCTTCTGGAGCTGGCCACGACAAAATCAACCGTATGTTGTCACTTGATATTAAATTACTGATATTATACGATGCACCCAGAAACATAGTTTTCACTAGACTGCCACTGGCTACAGACTCGTACACAACGGACTGAGGTCTGAACAATAACATCAGAAGCGTTTGCAGCATCACTTTTCTCAACAGCTCCAGTGTTAAATGGATGGCACCGGTGAGCGCAGCAGCCGTCGTACCTGCTCCGGCACCTTGAGCCCCTGAATGTGTCCTATTTCATTTTAATGTGGAATATTTCATTTTTCGGGAGCAGTATTTCAGTTTAAAGTGTTTCATGTGGTGTGTGACATGACTTATTATCTCAGGATCGTCGCCAGAATCACCTTTCTAGTCTTATTTAAACTTACTGTATTCCAGGAATGTAGCGTGCATATATTTGACTGCTTTTCTATTAGGGACTACATTTCTTATGCAATGTCATTTTGGTTTTTTTCGGAGCAATGACTATGGAGTAGTGAGAGTGCCAAATTAAAAAATAAATCAATAAAAGAAAAATAAAATAAAAGTGGAAATAAAAAGAAGAATAAACAAAATAAAAAATAAACAATGTGACAATATTAATCACAAATGAATCCATAAAAGAAAAGGATAATAAAAGTAGAAATATAAAGACACGTAAATAAAATTAAAAAATAAAAATATATATTTTTATTATTTATTTTTTCATTTTTAAATTTGAAACTTTTTATTTTTTTATTTTTTTTTTCATTTTTATTTTTTATATATTTTATTTATAATGTCCCCTTAAAAGCAAAGGAAAAATGTGCACGACATTCCGACTGCACATATTTCCTTTGCTTTTAAAGTGACATTATAAAAATTAAAATTAAAATGAAATTTAAAAAAAATTAAAGCAAATTATTAAATAAATATGTTTTTTTTAATTTGTTTTATTTGTCTTTGTATTTATACTTTCATTAGCCTTTTCTTTTATGGATTCATTTGTGATTAATATTGCCACATTATTTATTTTTTATTTGATCTTTTCTTCTTTTTATTTCCGCTGTTATTTTATTATTCTTTCACTGATTTATTTTGTAACTAGGCGCTCTCACTGCTCCATACTCTGGGTGAGTTGAAGCCACCGACGTGTTTCTGAGGTTTGGTATCTGCTGACCCCTTGTGGTCACACAGGGGAACTACCTGCTAGGACAAGGGGCTGCATGTGATCCAGAGCTGAACAAATATTAACACAAGTGTCTAAATCAACAGGAAGCAGTCACAGAGGATGGACTCTGCTCTGCCTGGCCAACGTCCAGCCCAGTTGACCAGAAACCTCTTTATTCTCCTGATACCTCCCCGCAGCTCATTCTGCGTTTTGGGGCTGCTGGGTAACTGTGCGACGCTCCCTGACCGCCTCCTGCAGACCGACCTGTGACCCGGAGCATGCTGCTGCTAACGCCGGGACTGCTCACACGGTCACGCGCCTGCGTTAACGGCGTGCTCGGACGGTTACCGACGTCTGTGTCCCGGAGAAACATGTCGTCCGCGGCTCGGAGGCCCGTGTCCCTGCTGGGGACCATGTCGTTCGGAGGCCGAGCCGACGCCGAGCTGAGCCTGCAGATGGTGACGGCGTTCCTGGCCAGAGGACACCGCCGGCTGGACACCGCCTTCATGTACGCGGACGGGAAGGCGGAGGCCGTCATGGGGGGCATGCAGCTGCCCGACACAGGTACACAGCAGCTCAGGTACATCGTAGGAAACACACGGTCCACGTTAGCAAAGCTCACCGGAAGTTAATGGAGAGACTCAAGCAGGAACGCCTGCGGGTTGTCCAGGTCTGGACCGGGCTCACGGAGGCCTGGATGGGCTTTAGTCCTGCTGGACATCAGGTCACTGGTCTGACTGCTAAAGCAAAAGCTGAACATAGTCTTTAAAACGTGTCTCCACTGGTAGTCCGGTGGAGGATCATCCATGAGTGTGAACAGGAACTACAAACCCTGGGAAGGTTAAATTATAGATCATAGACCCCGTAGTGGTCAATAAACTGACCACAAACTGTTTATGACAGAAAACTAAAAACTATGTGTGTTGCGTAACATTCACGTTCAGAATCAGCTTTAAAGGCCCAGAACAGGACAGACCGGACTTTGGTTTGGGCTGCTGGTGTGGCCCGGGGATGGGCAGGAATAATAGAAATAAAGAATAAAAATCACCTGGAAAATAAGATCATAGATAAATAAGACGACAGCTACATACAGGAACATGGGCATCATGCTGCTGTTAGTCAGAGGAACGCCACAACGTGAGAACACAGTTCATCTTCTGGAGAACGAACCCGTACGAGTCGCTCAGCGTGGCTCCTGATGTTAGATCACCAACCTGCCATCAAACACTAACCTTCAGTGTTATCATCCATTATCACGGAGAATCATTTCCACAGGAACCAGCTGGACTGTCAGACCAGGTTTCAACCTGCAAATGACCAACTTGTGCTTCGTTAACAGTCAGCATCGCCACCAAAGCCAACCCCTGGGACGGGAAGACCCTGAAGCCCGAGAGCGTGCGCTCCCAGCTGGACACCTCCCTGAAGAGGCTGCAGACGGACTCCGTGGACCTGTTCTACCTTCACGCCCCCGACCATGAAAACCCCGTCCTGGACACGCTCAGGACCTGCAACGAGCTCCACAAAGAGGTGAGCGTCTGAGCACGAGCTGCACCTGGCTGAAACATTCCTGACAGGTGTCCACGGCGTGCAGGTTAGAAACACTCTGCACCTGTTCATGTGACATTATTGCATTAAGCAGTGATTTCACTTTAAAATCTCACCTCAGGGGAAGTTCAAGGAGTTCGGTTTGTCCAACTACGCATCCTGGGAGGTGGCTGAGATTGTTTGCATCTGCAGACAGAACAACTGGATCGTTCCCACTGTGTACCAGGTATTCACTCATAAGAACCGAGCCTCCAGTGAATGCAGAGTGCAGCGTCTGGTGTGTGAGCGTTAGAGCTGGTTCTGGTTCTGGTTTCACCAAATGAGAGGACGGTTTTGTTCTGTCCCGTCTCTGGGAGTGAAGAAGAACCAGTCCAGCAGACTAATGTGTGTATGACACTTGAAATGGATCCGTTTCACCATCATTTGCATCCTAACGTAGACTCCTCCAACCCTCCACAGGGAATGTACAACGCCACCACCAGGCAGGTGGAGAAGGAGCTGCTGCCATGTCTGAGATACTTTGGAATGAAGTTCTATGCATACAATCCTCTAGCAGGTACTTCCTGTCTGTCTTCTGTGGTAGTCAGCCTTCACACTGTGTACGTGTTGATCAATAGGTGACCTTCTGTAGAGGACTAACCATAACCACCACCTGCTGAGCTGCTCCAGATCACATCCTGTCTTCATCCATGGCAGCAGCATGGCTCTGGCCACGGTGACAGACTTCTGCCATCATAAACGTGTGTTCAGAGGATGGACTCTATGACTTCAGTGATCTAACATTCCCTGTAGAACCACTGTGATGCTGCGTCCATGTGTCACTGCAAATTACCGTAATGTCCAGACTACTGAGGCACCTGAATATAAGCCACACCCACTGACT